AAAATCTGTTCATATTAATTCCCTAATAAGCATAATAATTCATAATTTTTTGGTTCTAATCACATTTCAATTAAACTTGGAGACATAGATTTTCTGTTACATTGCGCAGACCTCATTAGTTTTACACTCAAATCTGGTCATATTAATTTTCTGATTTGCATAATTAGTTTTCAGCTAAGTAATTTCGAATTATATTTAATGTGTCTCCAATACTCTCAGCACATGGGAGTTCTTTCTAAGCTTTCTTTGATTTAGATGTCCATCATAGTTGTAGCTTGGATGTCACAGCATTGTGTTTTTGGCAGGAATGCCTATTACATGTGTCTACAACTGTTTCTCCAATGCTGGATCAAATCATGGCAAATGTTACATCTACATGTATCAGTTTCTACCCCCCTCCCCCAATAATTAAAGGACTATTTATTGAATTGAACAAAAATTATTCTCTTAATTTGCACAAAAAAAAAACAATTCACTTAAATACTTGATTTATGATTTATATGAGTAGAGTTCATCTGAAGTTCGCCGCATATGCCCAATTGTCCCAATAGGAAAACAACTAAACTACTATAAAAACCTTTCTTGTACTCAACAGTTACAGTTACTGGAGCAATTGTCCTCAGGTTTCTCAAACTTTGTTGGCAACCAGTCCTTAGACAACATTATGCTTGGCATATGTGGCAATCAGTCAGATATGATGGATGCCACTCTCTTGTATGGGCTGATTGGTGGTCTTAGTGGAGACGATGTCAGTAATGTCACTGATGAGTATGATCCAAGTAAAAACAATGATATGCCTGAAGAATATGACAGGTATGCTGAAATGGAAGAAGAAGAAGAAACTAATGAAGAGTATGTCTATGACAATTCTACCAGTAAGTTGATACCATTTTATCTTGCCATAATGTGAATGAATGAAGAAATATATGTAGGGAAAAAATCACTATTGTTCTCGTCATTCTTGTTGTCACTGTCACAAACTTTTTTTTTACAATAACCCAAATTTGGATGTGTCGTTAATCATCCTGAACACTTAACCAACTTTAATTTTGTATGTCTATTTTTACATCTACCAAAGAGGTTTCGTTTTTGTTTTGTTTGTCTGACGAAATTCTACAACTGTTCTGACAAGGACCAATCAGAGGCGTGGATATAGTTTTCATGGAAATATCAATTTTATGAATGATTTTTTTATTCATAATTCAAAATGTTATGAAAAATCTCATGAAATTTCCTTCCAAGTGGCTAAGCACTGAAATACCGACTTATAACATGTAAAGGGAAATCTACTGTAAACAAATCATGATCTAAATTGAACACTTGTATTAAAATGGCAAACCTTTAAACACTTCCATAAAGAATGGTTCACACAATCAAAAATTCTGATCAGATTCTGTAATTTGTATGTTCATGTCATTGATAATTTTTTGTAGTCAATCATTTTACATTATTTTGTTTTTGTAGCTCCCTTCTGTAACTCACTTTTTGAGCAGATTGAATCAAACCGATTTACTCGTATCTTGTGGAATCGACTTAAACCGATCGTTGTCGGATATGTTCCTTTCTCACCAAATACCACCACGGCACGAAGAGTTATTGATAAAGTGAGTGGAATTTTGTTTTTTACTAATGAATCATGACATAGGACTTTGTAACTATGGAAACCAAAATCATACTTGAACTTGTTTGTGTAATATCTCATTCACTGTTAGGATAAAATTAACAGTGTGGACTTTAAATAAGAGTCATTTATTGGGGGAGGTAAGAGTTATTTTAATACATATTTTATTAAATGATGTTCTTGCTATTTCCTTCTAGACAAATTGGCCATTTAAGATTTTACAGAATATTGTTGATTTGGCTGAAGCATGGCTGGAAATGTCACCAGACTTGCTACGATTTCTAAATGAAACCACCTTACCGACATTGCCACAGTCATTTCTGGTAAGTATAATACTATGTTTCCTATCATTCATTGTAAATACATACCCACAATGCATCAGTCTAGACTTGATTAATGTAGAAACACAATGAATTATTTTTTAATGTCATTCCAAAATTTCTTTTTTTTAGCTACAAACTGTTGGCTGTAATTGAGAGAAGACATCAAGATTCTAAATTATCCAGTACAATATTTGACTATTTTTTATTTTTTTAGGATATTTACCAAAATAGCGCATGGTTTGATGATTTCTTCAGAGTATATAATGAGACTCTATCTGATAAAGACACATGGATACAGACGATACAAACATTAGATGAAGTAGCCGAGATGATAACCTTGTATTTGCCGGTAATGACCTCTACACAATTGGTGATATTTTTTGTTTTATTTTTACTTGGATGGTCATTGTACAAATATCATTGATATTTTCAGTTCAGCTTTAATTAATATGATAAATATTTACACTATTGGGATTAGTTTTATATTATATATTTGGCCATTTTTTACAATCAAAATCTAGGCATGTAGTTAGTGTTTCTGTGTGTATGTCAAGAATCAATCATCAGATTTTTCAATGAAAATGCGTAGACCTGATTATTTTTGCATATCAATTAGCTAGTTTGCACAATGATTAGTAAATTTTCGCGTTTTACATTTGTACAATGATATAAGTACTAATCATCACATTTCAATGAAACTTGGTACATAGATGCTCTGCAACAAAGCTAGCACAAACATGATTAGTTTTGGGTTGAAATTTGTGCATATTAATTACCTAATTGCCTATTAATTAGAACATTTTCATCTTTTACTACTGATATCTCAAGAACCACAATAGATTCCAATGGAATTTGGTACTTCAAACTACAAATTCCCTTTAACTCACTTAACTTCTATACTTTTCAATTTGATGGTATTAGCATATTAAATCAAGTGAAAATGGACCATAAAGCAACTTAAAGCATTTCAAGGCTAAAATTACTCTTATCTTAGGAGTCTAAAAGCTTGAAAACATTAAAACGTAACATATATTTGAAAGCACATTTATGAAGAAAAATTATGGGTCTAATTTAGAACATTTTCCTTCTGGGAGGGTCTTGTGAAAAAATTCTTACCATGTATAGAATAAAATAGTGATTTCTAATGTTTTTGCCTTATGTCCCTCCAGCTGTGGAATTGCCCAGATGTATCTCAAAGAGCAAAGTTATATTAGCCAACGTACATTTTGTTCAAGAGGGCAACCTCAAATCTGTAATTAATTTTACATTTTCCCAATTTCTACTTCATGCCTTCAATACTCACATTCTTACTAATGCTTTTTATACATTTTTTTGTATGGTTCCAATTCTTTTTCTATTTAGTGTGTAAATCTAGATCGATTCGTCGGCTATGACACGGAAGATGATGTTGTACGTAGAGGAATGCAACTAATGGAATATAATAAACTGTGGGCAGGTGAGTTGGCAATAATATACTCTGTGTCATGAAGTTGGAGATAATATACTCTGGGCTGGTGACTTAGGGTGAATACACTCTGGCCTGGTGAGTTGGGGTGAATATACTCTGGTCTGGTGAGTTGGA